GTGCTGTGACGTCACAGCTCACAGCAACCTCCAACTCCTGGGCTTAGGCAATTCTCTTGCCTCAGCCTCCCAAGTAACTGGGACTACAGGCGCCTGCCACAATGCCTGGCTATTTTTTTGTTGCAGTTTGGCCGGGGCTGTGTTTGAGCCCGCTACCCTTGGTATATGGGGCTGGTGCTCTGCTCACTGAGCCACAGGCCGCCCTCTCTCTCTCTCTCTCTCTTTTTTTTTTTTTTTTTTTTTGAGACAGAGCCTCAAGCTATTGCCCTGGGTAGAGTGCTGTAGCATCACAGCTCACAGCAACCTCTACTCTGGGAGGCTGAAGCAGGAGGATCTCTTGAGGGCAGAATCTTGAGACCACCCTGAGCAAAGTGGGACCCTGTCTCTACTAAAATAGAAAAATTACTCAGAGCTGAAGCCCGAGGATCATCAGAGTCCAGGAGTTAGGGGCTGCAGTGAGGTATGATGACACCACTGCACTCTGGCCTGAGTAACAAGGCAAGATTCTTTCAGGAACAGAAAGGAAGAAGGGAAAGGAAGAAGGGAGGGGAGGGAAGGGGAGGGGAGGGGGAAAGAAGAAGAGTAAATTTGCTGGTTGGGAATTTGATACATATACAGAATCTTTTCAGTAGTTTGATTAGGGATCCTCAAACTTTTTAAACAGGGGGCCAGTTCACTGTCCCTCAGACCGCTGGGTCGGACTGCAGGCCCTGGGATGAGTCAGCTGCTAAGCAGGACAAGCAGCAGCAGCAAAAATACCCAACGGGCCGGATGAATGTCCTAGGCGGGCTGCATATGGCCCACGGGCTGTAATTTGAGGACACCTGGATTAGAGTATTTATGGGCATGGTTTTCTTTGAGTTTTATCCTTTTTGAAGTTTGCCAGAAATCAAACTTCTTGATTTCATATATTTATATCTTTCATATTTCAGCCATTATTTTCCCCCCAAATGTTTTATGTATTGATATCTTTCTCTTCTCCTTCTAAAACTCCAAATACACAAATGTTAGATGTTTTGCCATTGTTCCACAGGTCTCTGAAGCTTTGTTTTTGTTTTTGTTTTTGCAGTTCTTGGCCAGGGCTGGGTTTGAACCTACCACCTCTGGCATATGGGGCTGGCACCCTACTCCTTTGAGCCACAGGCACTGCCCCATTTTTTTTTTTTTTTTGAGGCAGAGTCTCACTATGTCGCCCTGGGTAGAGTGCCGTGGCATCACAGCTCACAGCAACCTCCAACTCTTGGGCTTAAGCAATTCTTGTGCTTCAGCCTCCCAAGCAGCTGGGACCACAGACACCCACCACAATACCAGGCTATTTTTTGTAGTAATTGTCATTGTTGTTTAGCTGGCCAGGGCTGTGTCAAACCTGCCAGCCTTGGTGTATGTGGCTAGTGCCATAACCACTGTGCTACTGGTGCCAAGTCAGCTTTATTCATTTTTTACATATATATATTTACCTGGAAGGATTTGGAAGCTTTGTTCATTTTTTTTTTTTTTTT